TTAAATCGGTCAGTTCTTTAGGCTAAAGTCTCGCCGTTGTAACTGGCTGCTTGCCAATTGCCATGGAAGCTGATAATGATCCAGTTAAACCAGATATTCTAGCCAATGTGAAGGGAGCCTTAATGCTGTTCTAATATACATTTTAGGTGGCTGTCTTATCTGGAACATGTGCAGTATCTATTTTCGAATTTATTCCTGAACTAGTTATCTTGTTCATCTGTAACGATGAAACATGAAGTTACGCTAAATGCACCTCGGCGTCATTTAGGTTTTGATGCATTCCTAGTACTGTTTGTTTTATGCTTATTACGTGGTTGAAGTGTATGTGATTGTCGCAGGGCAAGTAGTTCTTGGTATTATCTTTCATATAGATAAATTTTAATTCCGATCGGTTTAAATGGGTATCACTTACATTTACGTTTGACTCGAGATATAATGCTTTGAACGAGTTCAGCCTAGAAACTATAGCCCAAGCCGATCATTTTTTAACATATCAGTATACTGTTTTCGACTTTCTGGATTTAGTTGGTGGCATATTTTTCACGTCTTTACTTTTTTCTGTACCGCATCCGGGCGTCATTATTCTTTATCCCAGCCCGTTATTGAAGGCTATTCCACTTCACAATTACTCTTACAATTAGATATCGGTTTTGTCGACTTCTTTTCAATTTTTTTCCGATTTGTGTTCTCCTTTCTTATTGTAACTTTTGTGGAGCTGGCTTAGGTTGTGATGCTTGGCCTCGATGCAGCTGGAAAAACAACTATATTGTACAAGTTGCACATCGGAGAAGTTTTATCGACGGTCCCTACTATTGGTAGGCAACGTAGCCGATAATAACTTGGTTTTCTTTTAAAATATGTACTTTTATGATGATACTTTTAGAAAATGATCGGGTCGTGCTTCATTTTGTTGATTTTGTCATGCGTGGGGTGATAATGTAGTGTCGACTTTCCTTTTGTTTGGTTATGGCCTATGGGTTTGAACCCGGTAGACAGCGTCTCTGTGTAAAACGGGTGGAAGGCTGCTTGCATTAGGACCATTGATTAGTGTTATGGCCCTTTTCTCGTATTCCTCGTATAGTCTTTGGTTGAAATTTCGGCTTTTAATTAATGTTATTAACGTTTTATCTCGAGGTGGATAGACGAGTTGATACGAGTGCTGAATTCTTGTCGATATCTCCTTCAGGTTTTAATGTGGAGAAAGTTCAATATAAGAATGTGATGTTCACGGTTTGGGATGTCGGCGGACAGGAGAAACTAAGGCCGCTGTGGAGGCACTACTTCAATAATACAGATGGATTGGTGATAAGATTTTGTTTATCGAATCGATTTTGCTCCGTTCTTCACTACTTAGTTAAAAGATAAGAACATTTGTATCTCTTTCTAATACGTATGTCTGTGCAGATCTACGTTGTCGACTCCTTGGACCGAGAGAGGATCGGGAAAGCTAAACTTGAATTTCAGGTTGTAAATTTAGAATGTACTCGAACTTGTTCGACGTTCGGGATTAACGTTGTCTAGTTTTTTCTTTATGTGTATTGTTTCAGACCATCATCAACGACCCGTTTATGCTCAACAGCGTCATCTTGGTGTTCGCCAACAAACAGGACATGGTATGTTTTCTGCAGTTGTTTCAGACCTGTGCATTCGAACCAAGACGTGCGATTTCGAGTAATCCGACATAACAATCTTTTGGCTGAAAAGCCGAGACGAATACAGCAGTGTTCGATAAGCATCGATTCATACATCTAGGTTTTCTTCATGAAAAAAATATTTGTTCCATTGAATCCGATCTTTATGGTTTCTTTTTCCAGAAAGGAGCGATGAACCCGATGGAGGTATGCGAAGGGTTAGGACTTTTCGACCTGAAGAACCGGAAATGGCACATACAAGGTACTTGTGCGCTTAGAGGAGACGGCCTCTACGAAGGCTTGGACTGGTTAGCCGGAACGCTCAAGGAGATGAAAGCTGCCGGATATTCATCGATGGGCCCATCATCGTTCTAACGGCATCGGAAACGAGAATGGCATCGTTTTCGGATGCATCATCAGAGGGATTGAAGGTTGGGAAGTCTAGTGTTGTAATCATAAGTTCTGTTTGGTTCTAAAAAATATATTATTTTTATTTTCTTAAAAATTGGAAAAGTTGAGGAAATTATGTTTGTTTTAAAATTAGAAAATGATTTCTGAAAAATAAAACAAATATAAGAAAATGATTTTGGCAAAAATAAGTGAAAATATGAAAATATAAAAATGATTTTCTAGTATTTTCATTAAAGTTGTTTTGAATATTTAAAACATAGGAAAACATGATATCTAAATTTAACTTGTATGGATTTAAATTATTTAAATAATAATTTGTTACTTAATGGTATCTAAAACCCTCGTACTTTTATAAAAAAATCAATATAATTCCTAAAACCCTCATACCTAATGGCATGGTCAAACTGGATCGGATTTCTGGTCAACTCGATCTGATCTAAAAATATATATCATCCATTCGAAACTTAACTCGAATTTAAGGGTGATTTTACTCAAATCCAACTCAACTTTTTGAGATAAAATTCGAATCCGACTCCACTTAAAATAAATATATTTATTAAAAATATTATTTTATTCAATAAAAATCTAATTCAAAAAAATAATATATATAGAATTAATATTACAAATATCCCTAAATATATAAGATAGATTTACATTATTTTTCGAGTCGAATTAGATATTTTTCACCCTAAACCCATACATATTTTCTAAAAACACTCGATTCAACCCAAACTTAAATTTTTTTAAAAAAAACGGATCTAATCAAGTCTGGTCGATGGTCAAAATCCGTCGGGTCCATAAATATCGACTCTCATGAAAGGATATCGTACTAAACAATCACTACTAATACTTAGGGAAGTATCGATACCGATTCAATATATCGAAGAAACAACATATGTATATCCATTATAACACGAGACACCATCATCTCTCATGTGGAAAGGATCCAACAATGAAACATTATCTTCCTATGAAACACCTTATCCAAATATATAAGAGAAATAACTTAATATGTGTGTGTGTGTGTATACAAAAAGAATAAGGACATTGGTCTGGTTTTTAGGGCAGTTAGTATAAAAACATTTCAGTGTTTCACATAAACTATAGGATAATTTGAAGAGTAGCAAAGGAAATTGGTTCTCCAAAAGAATCATGTTATAACCTACAAATCATAGGGGAGGGTAGAAATATGATGAGAGAGAGAAGCCGAGGAAGAGCAAGCCTCCGACCGTGGCTACGGTGCGCTGCGAGATCTTGGCTGCTAGCATGCTTCCTCCCACCACAGCCAGTGACGTGCAGATGGTGTGCCCTATCATGGCTCCTACCGCTACACCCACAGCGTTTTTATGCGTTGCTAGCTGCACCAATAGAAAGGACTTTGTTTAGACGACTGTATGCGATTCCTTTCGGAAATTACAGACATTGTCACAACAGGATTGTTTTATTTTATTTAACCATGTAGCTAAGATGTTATCCATGATTTGTAGCTCCTTTTTACCGATTATGAACTGTTATCAAGGATTGACAAGAGTCATCAAATACAACGATCCCGGATAAGAGTCGTACAAAACTCGTATTGCGTTTTAAGGTTGATATAAGCTTTTACCTAATTACAAACCTATGAGACTTGGGAAAAAGTTTATCATAGACCTAGATTTAAACACTAAAAGCTCCTGCAACATTTAAACTAGCATGAGGCACTTTTCCCCCAAGTGTCACGAGCAGGACGGTCCATGATTGCAATTTTTAAGAAGAAAACATGCCAGCTATTGTTCCTTACAAACTTACTGTCGAGTAAAAGAACCCAAAAATACGAGCAACCATCAGAAACAAAGAGACAAATTCGAATCACAGTAACAACTTAAGGTCAAGGATAGGATTTATCTTACAGCAATTGTGGCAATTTGGCTTCGATCCCCCCATTCTGCTAGAAACGTTAGAATAAATGACTGCATTGAAAGAGAAAAGGAAGAATTCAGCAATAATTGATGATTTTAATCAATGTATGAAAATAGACTAAATTAAATATCTAAGACGAGCGGCAATGTGGAAACAAAACCTCCAAGAATATTGGTGTACAAAATCTGGAGAGGAAGCGTCGATAATGTGTTTTCCCTTGGCCAGTCTCAAGTTTCTCTTCTACCTAAACGTGCGAGATAATCAAAGACCAAATTCAATATGAAGTTGAAACCGAAGAAAACAAAAGATTTCAGATGCTACATGATGCAATCTTTAAATATTACAAATCATTGATGCTGGAATGTGTATATAACATAGATATACACACACACACACACATATATATATATATATATGCAAGAATCTGCACACGTTACACATGGATAAAAGAATTCAATATCCTCTTGAAGAACCTGTTCACATTCCAAAAAGAAACACGCGTTTATCCAACTTTCTATAATATAGAAAACAGATAAAGGAAGCACTTTGGTAAACTGATTAACTAAATTACAAGTATAACCATTTGGTCTGCCTCAAAATTATATCTGTCGCCTTATTCCAGTTCTTTTCTTGCGAGAAGCATCTATAGTAACCAAATATGATAAAAAGGACGTATAAAAGAAAAAAAATCAAATATAAAGTTAGAGAGACACACTTCTTCCATTTCCTTTTTGTGAGATCCCTTTGTATCTGATTTCCAAGCAATGTAAAGTAACCGAAGCCCGAAAAATGCATAGAGAACTGCATACCGGGATAAATGGTTATAACAAAATGACCATAAAATGAAATCATTAAATGAAATAATTAGGAACATGAAAAGACAAAGTCAATGTATATATACCCGTAGCTGCACTATTTGTGTGCTTCCTTGATATCAAATTCGGCACAATCCTACCTAGTCCAGTGGAAAGTATCTAATTGAGAAGAACAAATAAACACTGATAACATTAAGAATTTAGCATAAATGACTTTGGCAGTACATGATGAAAAAAACCATTTATATGAAACGAAAAGGGAAGGAACCTAAAACACTTTGTCGGTCAAGCAAAGCCATTAGAGAGAAAGAGAGATAGAAAATGGCCACGTACTGTCATTACAAAGAGGGCAGCTAGTGCACCAGATAGAACAATTGACTTTGGGTGCCGCATAGCCATAAGAGCTGCTATTATAAAAGTTTCATCTCCGATCTGTTATTGTATCCACAACACACCCAATTCAGCATTTGCTCCAAATGGTATTGGTTATAACAAATGCGATGAATGCACATGTTTCTCAGCAAAAGACCATCCTTTGAAAGCACATAATTTCTAACATAAATTTTATGTGCAAGCGCAAGAGCACATGCGGGCAGGCGCAGGCGCACACACACACACATATATATATATAGAGAGAGAGAGAGATCTGAATGAACAAACCTCACTGACAATTATCATGGAAAAACTTGCAAAGAATGCATCCAAGATGCCAAGACCAGAATCAAAACCAAGAGCAGTACCCAAGGGATCGTCTAGTACACTATTCTGAAGGTTGTTCGCCACAATCTGTATCGCATAAATCAATTCATCACCATAATCGGATAATCTGAATGCCAACACAAATTACATCTTCAATAACAAGGATGAAAAAGTTGAATAACATTGTAAATTGCAAGGTAAACATAAACCTTATGATCAAACACTTTCATGTGAATAACTAACACCCTGTTTAACAACTTAATTCTATTTCCTAATCAGCTGCTCGAAAGCAAAACAAAAATCATAAAAAGAAAACCTACTTCCCAACAGCTAATAACTATGCAATTAATCAAAATTTCAAAATAAAAACTAACTAAGCAATGTGAATTCTATAATTTCTAAGTTCATCAACAATCAAACAGATGGAAAAACGGGGAAAAAAGAAAAGAAAAGAGAAAGCAGACCATGCCCCGGCGGCCCAAATCTTTGATTGACCCACCAGATTCCCTCTGAGCTTGAACTTCCGAATTCTGAGAAGTTACACAAATAGAGAAAAACCCATTTCACTATTTACATTAATTTGAAAGACTAAGCTTTCAAAAAGTATAAAAATACATAAAAATACATAAACAGAGATGAATAGTACCTGAGCAAAAGAAAAGGACGACAGAGCGAGGAAGACGAAGGAAGCAATGAAGAGGACGCGAATGGAAGTGGAACCCATGACGAGAAAAACTGGGTTTGCGAGAGAGAATCGAGGGATCGTGAGACTGAGATTCAATAGGAAGATCAAACTTTTAAGAAAAAAAACTTTGAAAATTGAATCAAAGGAGAGAGATCTGGAAAAAGGGTAATGGATCTGAAGGAATATTCAAAAGGATCGAAGAATTCATTTGTGAATCGATGAGATCAAAGAAAGAAAAGATAGATCGTGCGAAGAGTAGTGAAGATCTTCTCTGCAGATTTTACATACGGACTGGTTCTTCCGCCCTCTCTTTTTCTCTCTCTTTTAACATGGTTTAATTTAGGGACTGGACACGAGCCCAAACCCGACCGGTTTCGATCCGATCAGATCGGAACATGTCTAATTTTTTTTAAACATCGATTTTGAGTCATATTAGTTCTTAAAAATATATGTCCGGTTTGTGTTTAATATATATATATATATATTTGATCCAATTTGAAAAATAAAGTAAATTTGATTTTTAGGGATAATTAGAATAATAATATTCTATATATTATTTTTTTCAATTAGATTCTTATTTTTATCGAATGAAAAATGTTTTTATAAATATATTTATTTCAGGTCGAATTTAGATTTTATCTCAAAAACTCTGATAGGATAAAGTCAAATTTAAACTCGAGTTAAATCAGATTCCGAATGAGGATATATATTTTCAAATTAGGTTGAGCTAAACCGGAGACTGACTCAACATATGTACATCCCTGGTTTAATTGCAAGATCGCATCTAACATTTCAAGATATCATTCGGTTCATTTCGATTCGGTTCTATTTTTAGTAAAAAAATCAAACCGAACCGATTTCACCCCTACTTCAAGGTGTAATTTAGTACTTCATATTCTTTTTGGTCCAATTAGGTACTTACATTTCTCCTCAAGGTTGAGCGGTCTCAGTGG